GTTTACAGCAACCAAACATAACAAGACTAGCATTTTAAATCATTTTTGACTTTTAATGTATGATTTGTCGCATTTATTGTCGTCAATAGAAAAGAAAAAATGTTCCTTAATGAAGTATACTTTTATGTAAAAAATAGCAGACTTAAATAAATTGATTTGTCTTTGAGTAATAGCAGTCAAATACTGTTGATAACATCTAAATCATTAGACAATAAGTTTACCGGCCCCACATAGTGTTTGTTATTCATTTCTTTTTGCTGCAGGTGTTATTAACACGAGGACGAAATGCAGTTTCTCTGCAATTGTGGAAGCATATTTGCCGTTGACGCCAATATACGGGTTCACCAGAAAGAACGTGGGTCGATAGCATATGCATGTGGTATTTGCATTATGAGCACTAGAAAGAAGCAATTTAGCAAGTCCTCATGCCTATATAAATAGGGGACAAAAACTGTCCTTGTGGAAGAGGTTTACACAAAGACACCTGGCACAACTTTCATATAATTGCCCACAGAAGAAGTCATGTCCGTCAAAAAGTATTTAAGCAAAGAAAATACTTATGTTTATAATGAGTATACTGGTTTGAGGTTGTTTGTTTGACCGTTCAGCGTTCTGTAGATATTATCGTGTGTTCCCTTCTTTTTTATAACAGCCTCACCGTTTTAACTTAAACTTAACGGGAGTAATTAACATGATCATCTTCTTTGCGAAAATAGGTTTTGACGTTTTGACGAACATTACAACTTTTTCGGGTGGTTTCATGTTGAATGTTGGTTAAAGTTGGACCTTGCCTGAACCTCTTTCACAGAGAGAGGCGTAGTTCATCTCTCCTCTGTACAGAGCCATGTAGTTTTCAATTGCTTCTTTCGGCGAATGTTCATGCAGTTGGTGACACATGTGTATTTTGCCGACCCATGTACTTTGCAAGTCGACCTCAACGCGATTGCAGACTAACTGCAGTTCGTCCTTGTGTTAAAACACCTGTAACATAAAATAATGGATAACACACACTATATAGAGCGAAGTATATAACAAATCTTTTAATCATTTTAAGAAATATTCTGTGTTTGATTCCTAACTATATTTCTTAGTTAATAAACGAGTACATCGAACTGAAATATTTATGTCAGGTTATGTTATGCAATTTGATAGACGTTTTGAAAGGTCATTTGAGTATACAAAAATAATATTAGGTATTTGCCAGTACATCGAACAGAAATACTTATGTCAGGTTATGTTAGGTTTGTTGACAAACAGTTTAACGCAGCAACTGTAGAGGGCATTACCACTCCAGTTTCTCGTGCGCGAACTTTTATACCCTTTTGACGCTCGGCAAAATCATATTTCTATTCTTAGGAAATATTGACCGGAGACCTGAGGTTTTTTTAGTTCTTGTGATTCATTGCGATTAGCGCATTAATTTTAATGACAGTAAACATCTCAATTCCTTTATTCATAATAATACATCGGCTGCCTATTCCGCGGTTATAAGTATTGCATTGAATAGCGAATTCGCATGTTCGAATCTTCGATGAAATAAAAAAAAATAAAAATGAAATAATTAAATAAAATAAATAATAAAAATATTGTTTTAGATTTATTTTATCATTGTGTAATAATACACATCATTATTGGATAAAGAATTTGATTATTTCCCATCATCATTTAACATATCTATGTATTTTTATAATCTCAATATGTTATGTCGTACAAAGAGTGATTGGCATGCACAAAAAACAGAGTAATCAAGTAAAACAAAATAGAAATATGAAAATTGTTTCATTACGATTAAAATTCTTGACTTTATGTCCCTGAGACCAGTAAGACAACTTGAGATTATACATAAAACATATGTACTTTTATTTGTCATACTTTAAAATCCGTCACATTTACTTCGGTATCGATAATTACCGACAAACTGTCATAAAATATTCAAATGTCTCATGTCAATATTTCCTAACAATAGATAACTTTAATAACTTCAAATAAAACATGAATCATTTATAATTATACTATAATGCAAAACTATAAAATTCATAATAATTTCCTTCTAAATCTTATAATTTCTCACAAAAGTCATTTTTAAATATTTTTATGTCTCAGGTCACTTTTGCCAAATTAATTACGATAATTAATAATTATAATCGTATAAAGTGGAAATGAATCATGTGTATTCAAATATAGAAGAAAACATCTCAGTATTTATCCATGTTACTAAATTGAATTAGTTTCGTCCTGTTGACAAGAATAAATTCGATTAAAAAGTCGTCATGTTTTTTACTTTATTGGCGGGATTTCGTTTCCAAATATTAATTACGCCCTCCGAGATTTCTTGTCAACATTTTTATGGACAAAAAATATGACGACATTCGTCTAATCAGATGTTGTCAAGATGCCTAAATACATTACATAAAAACAATGACATAAGACGTCATTTTGCGTTAATACGTGTCGACTTTTGAAATGTCCTTTTGTCGAACAGAAAACAGCGTTGATACTTTAACTCCAGTGAAAAGTCGACAATAAGAACAACAAAGCAATCTCTATACATAAACATCTTTCACAAGTCAAGTGAATTCAATGACTATTTCAGAAAGAGCTCAAAACGCAGGAGGTAGACCGTTGGCTGACCGGGTGATTAGGTACTGTTGTTTATTGCAAGCATTTCAGTCAAAAAATAATTACAAACTAGACTGATCAGTTATAAAATACAATCTTTTCATTTCATAGTATTCATATTACTCTTGTTTTAAGAAAATGTATATATGATATCAGGTTTTTCACATTTATTCAGAATATATACATTAACCTGTGCATTAGTAGTATAAGAGGTGTAACGGAAATTTCTTTACATTATTTTTAGTAAGATTGTCTACACAAACAGTATAGTCATGAAACTCCTGTCTAAATTTTGCATTAATTCTTAAACATCTATCATCTGTTTATTTGTTATAAGTATATGAACACGCATAAATAACAATTATTCAACAATGATAAAATTTATCATAAAGTACTATTTCGTTAGCACAAATAAAATCAGGAAATCAAATTCTTAATAAAAGAAACCAATGCATTTGTTTGCAAATGAATGGTGTACTCGTATATAAAATGTAAGGGAGAATACTGATTAGATTTTTAAAAGATACACAATCTATTTTAGGAGCCATAATGACTCAAGAATCAATCAGAGACCGCAAACATATTCTAATAACGAATCAGGTAATGTATAATAATGTATTTTGATTCAGTCGGCATTAACTTTTAACATTAGCTCAGAATTTTTTCTTTCGGAATAGGATGTACAATTACAAAGTATGCATTAACGGATTTAGCTCAAAGTTTACAGCTCATGCGTAAGCTACATTTATGGTAAGCTGTAAGTCAGTTTTATTGAAAATTAGACATTGTCAGCTTTACGCATTTATTAAATACTATACTTACATTTTTCAGAATGTGTCTGTTGTCAGCCGTGTAGAAAATCCATGGAATTGACAGGTAAACAATTTACTAACATAATTATTCATATATATTGATAGAATGGTAAATAATATACAAGTCACTACGTTATCAATATGATTTACTTAATAATACTAATTTAATAACTACACAATCAGTATTAAATGGAAGAATCAGACAAGCAAATATAATATACTGATGCTGAAGCATCTATGTCTCTTAAATTAGTTTTACGAATGTTTTTATATGCCACAAGTATCATCAACGGATAATTATAAGTAAAACTTCATTTGTGTTGTTCATAACAGAAGAAGCAGAGTAAAGCTTAATTATTTTCAAATTTTAGATTAGTGTATTGGTTTATGGTCTATATACCATGGCATCTTTTAAACGGATAATTAAGTTTATTGTAAATTATTTTTAATTTGATTATATTTTTGTTGTTGCAACGTAAAATCCAACTAAATGTTAGAAGCTATTAGCTTATTGAAACACACTCGAATCCGTTGCTAAAGCCAGCCAGTACTAACCAATGAGTGTAAAAGTTCTTGGTCACGGAAATAACGACCCCCTCCCCCTCGGACGAGGTTTCAACCCACGCGGCACACGATCCATAGTTAACCACTAGGCCACGCTGATAAACGGATAGTTTGTGACGTAATACAATACGTGATTTGTGATTTACTGCCGTCAATAAATGTATATGAGCAGAAGGTTTATTCATGTCTGAGTCAAACATTCAAAATGTCTTGATCTTTTTCAATGTAGAAGCTATGAATTATTAAGCTCAGAATAAAATGCAGCATTTGATAAAATGCTGCAAGATAATTATGTATGTAGTTCTTAGATGTACACGTTGGTTTTGCTTTCTTTAAGATACATACTGTTTACAATTATATAACCTTTTACCTTTTATGTTTTCAGTTTATATTTTGCATTTAACAGTTATTGCCACAGCAAGATTTGTTTTTGGTAACGTATATGACATTATTTGATGAATAATAAAATTATCTTTATGATTTTAAGTTAGAAAGTATATATTCAGCTTTATTTTTAAGAATCAAGGTTTAGCTGTAAAGAAAAAAATATTTGGAAAAAAAATTTTGTCAATGCTTTTTTGTGATAGCGGAGCAAATTAGCTTATTGTGCCACATCCATTAGAACCAATAAATAATTACGTTAATAGCATGCACAGTAATTTTGTTATGCAAGCAAACGTGTATGCTGCTTCAATGATATCTGCCTCCACAAACTTAAATTTATTGCAGTACATAACAGTAGCCGTGTGACAGTACATCGGTTGATGCTGTTATTTTTTATGTGTGTTCTTCTAATGTATTATTTATTCTTGTGTTTTGACCACAGGTTTGTTTATGGTTGGCACAGACAAAGTGAGCGGCGGTGTTGCCATTTTTGAAATAGTAAAAGGAGCAACTGATTTCATAATTGCAATAACACTTTGGCAAAATGTGAATTGCCTTGATCTTAAATATTTTACCTCGGTTCTGATACTGGCTTCAGCAATATTGACTGGTTTTGGTATGTCGTTGTTCTTTACTGTGCTCGTTCTGTTAATTTTGAATACACATGTTCAATAATTGCGTCCCTTGCATTGTTGTGAAAGAAACTGGCAATGTTCTGGTAATTGTGTTTTTTAGCTATGTTCTCTATAAGCAGTATATAATTTCAGAATAAAGCTTAAAAGTCATTATAGTTTTTTTTTATTAATTTAAACGACGGCACGTGCAGCAGTTTAACTGCTTATCATTCATAATATTTACTATAAACAAAAATGTGTTCTTTAAATAATGTAGCCTACCTTTTAAATTGCATAATGACAATAAGCCGAATCAAAATAATCACATACATTATAATTATATTTATCTATTTTAGGTACGTATTTTATATTGAGAGACATGTTAAATACATACTACATTGGACTGTATACAATAGTGGACTGGGTTATGATAGTCTGCATTATTCGGTATACGTATTGTGTAGTTAAAGACGACTAATTAAATTTGACATTTCTGTCTGACGTGCTTAAAATATGTTATGAAATAAACAAGACAATATTCAAACATTTAACTACCTTAGAAGTGATTTTGAATAAATATTTTAATGATATCTATTATATTGTGTTTATCTGAATTGTATTAAGATTAGCCATAACAAAACATTTTTTCCATTGAAAGATTTATATTATAGCTAACAATGCACTCAGGGCATTTAATTGCTAAGTTAAACTTCAACATCACCAGCATTTTAGTGTAGATGTTTATGATTATTGACTATAGCTTCTTGCTTCATGCATGCTTGGAATTTTGCTGTTACATATAATAGTATTTTAAAATAATTATTAAAAAGGTAATGATTCAAATAATCTCACTCCGGAAGTAACGTTAAAGTATCATCCATATTCAACAAACAATAAAAAAAGAGAAATGAAAAGTTCGTGATTGTCTTTCTCTTTTGCATCTTGTTTTGTGGACCCTTTATATAAACAAAGCCTCTCTTAAGATTTGTCTATGATAGAATTCCTAAATTCCGTTTATAAGCCGTTTATCCTTTTATTTTTAAATTTAGTTCAGCCTGTATTGTAACATTATTACAAAGATCTTTGTTTTGCATTTTATTAATATGCCAACGTATCAAAAGATTTATATGATCTTCCTAAATTTATATTTACAGTCTACTCACAAATTAGAGAAAACAATCAATTTCTATTTCAAGCTTAATCATAGATTGGCATAAAGAAAATAAAAATGGGCATTTTTTGCACACTTAGATGAAACTATCTTTCTTTTGCCATCCGGCTTGTTAGTTAAAAATACTCAAAATTGTTAATAAAGTTGGTTTATAATGCAACTATTTGCTATTATATTAATTCTTTGTTATCATTAGTTGTTAAAAAAGGTATTATGTATTCTTACTGCGCGTTTTATTTTCTAGGTTTTTTTCAGATCTTATTTCAGAGAGTAGTTGCACAATTTTTAGTCTTTGTAAAGCCTTGGCGCTTGTCACTGCTTAAAGAAAAGATTTATATAAAAATTGATTTGTATTTTTTATATATATATATATATATATATATATATATATATATATATATATATATATATATATATATATATATATATATATATATATATATATATATATATATATATATTATTCATCATCATTAAAAGGAAATATCAATTTACCATTTGCTTTTAACCTGCTAGAACTGAAAGTGAAAAGAATGTTTCACTAGTGTAGAACCACGCTGGTCTTCACATCCATGCAATTCGATTGTATCAAATGTATATAGCAGAATCTCTACTATCTCTAGAATCACTCTGTACTAACCAAAACTTTGAGAAAAAGGATTTTTTATATCAGATTCCTTTTTTGTAACATTATACATATTCTGAGATGTACACATATAGCTTTACACATTTAAATAACCTGGCCAAAAGAAACATTTTTCTATTTTGCTTTACTTTTTGCAGCCCAAAGATGGCTAGAAACAATATTGTCAGGATAGAAATGCAACAACATTCTTCTTTGTTTTCATGTCACATTTGCTTCCTAATATGTTACCTCCCTACATTCTTCATTCCAACGTCGAATTACAATATAATCTTCGAGTTTTAGTCACAGAGTGATTTTAGAAACCTCTTTTGTGAGATTTATCTGTCCATTTTAAACTTTGGTTCCAGTGTGATTTGGTGTTCAGCGAATTTTCTTTTTTGATTTGTTTTTTGTTTGCCTTTGGTTGTAGTGAAATTTTGTCTGAAAAAACTCATTGTTTGACATCTCCTATAGATATCATGTAAACCATGATGGTTGTGTTTTGTCTAGATTGCTAGCTAACAAATATTGTAACACAGTGCTCTGTATTCTGTTGTTTGCTTACTAAACAAGGCTTTGAATCGCTTTTAATAATATCTGTCCAAATAAAAACAACAATAGACTGAAAAAATACCTATCAGTGTCTTACATACAAGAGTTGATTTTTTATCTTCTTAAAAAGAGGTGTTTTCTGTTACCACCGGCAGAGTTCCTGAGTTTTGATATCCAAGAAACTTCGGATCAATAAACACTTTGTCCAAATCTTCCATTCTCCTAACAGCGTTATTATTTTCAATAAGGCAATGATCCAACCTTCATCACTCCATACTGCCTTTATTTTGCTATGTTACGACAGGTGTTCAAGAAGTGTAGCATTCATCTTTGTGGGGTCTTCACGTATTACCACATAAGATCCTTTAAGAGCTCTGCGTACTTTCATCACTTGCTTCTTCACTAGCTTCTGCACAAATTTACAAATAATCACCCGGTTTCCATCAATTCTAAAGTTCCCTAGTCGGTGCACAACGAATGATACTGTAGTTTTCTGATAAAGTGCTAAACTTCCATATTTAATATATATCAAAGTATTCCTACCAGGAAACGTAAATTTGGTGTGTTGTATTGTTTTATATGTGTGCAGTACACTTTATTGATTTCCTTCATCTCACGAAAATCATATTCCAAAAAAAAAACCTGTGTAATGAGTTTCCCCACGAATAAACTGTGAAGCGTTCCTTCCACAAAAGTCTGTTGACCCCACAAAATATCTGTGCGGCGTTCCTTTCACAAAGATGTGGAACATTTTAGGACTGCTGCATATAAAATGCCAGTCTGCTTTCATTCGGGGTTTTTCAACTTCAAATTCCTCTCATGGACATCGTATTTTGATGGGACTCACTTATACATGATCTTTTTGAGTATTTAACTGAATTTTTGCGTACAATTGTTGACGAAACATTTAGTGATTTTTTCTAACTATAAAAATATATATTCTCTTTATTGCATCTACATGCACTAAATATTTTTGCATTATTTTACCTTGGGCATTGACATTCGCGTCATTTTTTTAGGTTTCGCCGCGATGGTCCTCTAATTCTATTCCTACATTGATAAATTGGTAAGGAAATAATTATTACATGAATTATCTTACCAAAAATTTACTGACTGTAGAAATATTGTTTTCCATATATTTTGTTTAGGAGTTTCCCAAAATTTGTTTTCGAAAAATAATTAAATAGTTTGAAGTCCAAACATTGAGAAGCGACCACCCTACCAAGCACTTAAGTCGGCCACGGTGAGCAGCTGACATCCTGAGCAGCCTTTGTTAGAAAGAAATAACTAAACAGCTTACACAGACAGATAACAAACAGATTGCAGAGTCTTAGTAAAAAGGATATTGACAGCTCACAGAGACCTATGTCGAAAGTGGGACCCTACCGGTCACAAAACGCGCAGAGGCGTTACAATATTTTTATTTGCCTGACAATACGCTACCTTTTATTTTTGAATAATTAATATCTATATTAATGTCAATGTAGCAATAGAATTCAGATAACCTGAACAAATGAAATGCAAAATCCTCTGCTATAATTTTTTCTAAAGTTCCTAATCCGTTTTTGCTAGTTATCTAGTCATCGAAAATTTCTGTTTATCTGACCTTTCTGTCTGATGATAACAGCAGCAACAACTCAAAAGCGTGTGTGTTTTAACTTGTCTTTACTCGGTTCTGGAATAAACCACATGTCCAAGACCTTCAGCGTCCTCATTGGGAATCATTTGATACACGCTGATATATCTGCACGTCATGGGAGGAAAGGGCAACTTCACATTTAATCAATGATGTTATATTTTCGATCCTTGAAGATCGTTCAGCACGGCATTATTGTTGTGCTTGTGGTATTTTTAGTTTCAAGTTTTCGGCATTTTCTAGTTGGGTGGTTCCAAAATTCCGACTTGAATAATATTGAATCACTCTTAGGATATGTTGCCTGCTTTTTAAATTTGTCTTTTGACGTTTTATCTGTGATACGCAGGCTTCATAACCTCCGATCCCCTTTCAAAATTCCATTTTATTTAGTTCCGCCCATTGTTTTCTCGTTTAGGGCACACGCTTTTTATTACTTGGGGACCATACGCCGCTTTTCATGGAATGACACGGAAGTGTCACATTGAAGGTTCCATGATAACCGCCGTATGAACACATCTGCGGATGTTTCTAAATTCAAAATTTTACTATTTCACGTTTAAATGTTGAATTCTGCTTAAGCCGGTGCTAGGGGGCGTGGACGGTAACTTGCACTTTCCAGTACCGTCCATGAACAGGCTCAATCAAACCGAGCCTGCAACATTTTCAATTTTGCCGTGTTGGGCTTTCTTTAGGGATTCTGTATTCATCTATTTTATGATCACATCCGTGTTATTTGTGCCGTGTGGCGGCTGTAAAAAGTCTCCCCGTACATTTAATCAATGATGTTATATTTTCGATCCTTGAAGATCGTTCAGCACGACATTATTGTTGTGCTTGTGGTATTTTTAGTTTCAAGTTTTCGGCATTTTCTAGTTGGGTGGTTCCAATATTCCTACTTGAATAATGTTGAATCACCCTTAGGATATGTTGCCTGCTTTTTAAATTTGTCTTTTGACGTTTTATCTGTGATACGCATGTTTCATAACCTCCGATCCCCTTTCAAAATTCCATTTTATTTAGTTCCGCCCATTGTTTTCTCGTTTAGGGCACACGCTTTTTATTACTTGGGGACCATACGCCGCTTTTCATGGAATGACACGGAAGTGTCACATTGAAGGTTCCATGATAACCGCCGTATGAACACATCTGCGGATGTTTCTAAATTCAAAATTTTACTATTTCACGTTTAAATGTTGAATTCTGCTTAAGCCGGTGCTAGGGGGCGTGGACGGTAACTTGCACTTTCCAGTACCGTCCATGAACAGGCTCAATCAAACCGAGCCTGCAACATTTTTCAATTTTGCCGTGTTGGGCTTTCTTTAGGGATTCTATATTTATCTATTTTAAGATCACATCCGTGTTATTTGTGCCGTGTGGCGGCTGTAAAAAGTCTCCCCGTACATTTAATCAATGATGTTATATTTTCGATCCTTGAAGATCGTTCAGCACGACATTATTGTTGTGCTTGTATTTTTTGTTTCAACTTTTCGGCATTTTCTAGTTGGGTGGTTCCAATATTCCTACTTGAATAATGTTGAATCACCCTTAGGATATGTTGCCTGCTTTTTAAATTTGTCTTTTGACGTCTTGTCTGTGATACGCAGGCTTCATAACCTCTGATCCCCTTTCTAAATTCCATTTTATTTAGTTCCGCCCATTGTTTTCTCGTTTAGGGCACACGCTTTTTATTACTTGGGGACCATACGCCGCTTTTCATGGAATGGCACGGAAGTGTCACATTGAAGGTTCCATGATAACCGCCGTATGAACACATCTGCGGATGTTTCTAAATTCAAAATTTTACTATTTCACGTTTAAATGTTGAATTCTGCTTAAGCCGGTGCTAGGGGGCGTGGACGGTAACTTGCACTTTCCAGTACCGTCCATGAACAGGCTCAATCAAACCGAGCCTGCAACATTTTCAATTTTGCCGTGTTGGGCTTTCTTTAGGGATTCTATATTTATCTATTTTAAGATCACATCCGTGTTATTTGTGCCGTGTGGCGGCTGTAAAAAGTCTCCCCGTACATTTAATCAATGATGTTATATTTTCGATCCTTGAAGATCGTTCAGCACGACATTATTGTTGTGCTTGTATTTTTTGTTTCAACTTTTCGGCATTTTCTAGTTGGGTGGTTCCAATATTCCTACTTGAATAATGTTGAATCACCCTTAGGATATGTTGCCTGCTTTTTAAATTTGTCTTTTGACGTCTTGTCTGTGATACGCAGGCTTCATAACCTCTGATCCCCTTTCTAAATTCCATTTTATTTAGTTCCGCCCATTGTTTTCTCGTTTAGGGCACACGCTTTTTATTACTTGGGGACCATACGCCGCTTTTCATGGAATGGCACGGAAGTGTCACATTGAAGGTTCCATGATAACCGCCGTATGAACACATCTGCGGATGTTTCTAAATTCAAAATTTTACTATTTCACGTTTAAATGTTGAATTCTGCTTAAGCCGGTGCTAGGGGGCGTGGACGGTAACTTGCACTTTCCAGTACCGTCCATGAACAGGCTCAATCAAACCGAGCCTGCAACATTTTTCAATTTTGCCGTGTTGGGCTTTCTTTAGGGATTCTATATTTATCTATTTTCATAACCTCTGATCCCCTTTCAAAATTCCATTTTATTTAGTTCTGCTATCCAACGCGCTTTAAACTCTTGTGAAACAGTTTTTTATATTCCCTTGACTGTTTCGTAGAGTGATTAATTTGGTGACGAATTTTTGCAGGAGAAAACGTCTCAACGTTATACTCTTGTCGACAAAAAAGGCATTTGATAGAATTTATTATATCATATCTTAAGTATTATGTATCGTAAATCACCAGGTCTCAAACGCAGAATAGACTTAAGCTCTATTTACATTGTTAATTTTATCAATATTTAAAGAGAGACATTATTCTGTAAATGACCTCATAATAAATACATTAGGCAGTCATAGGAACGAAACTTTTCTCCTTACAAAGAATAAAATGGTGGTTTACCTTTACCCACGTGGGACTGGTAAGAACGTTAAGACTTCACAATAGTTGACACAGTGAACTTTGGAAACTTTATAGAATATGTAAAATGAATGACTTAGGCTTGTTTTAATCATACAAAGTCCACAATATCTGTTATTGTTATCGGTGATTCTGCCGGCGTCTAAACTTTGTTCAATATATCTAGATATATAAAACTTTAAACCGAAAATATATTACATTTACATAGAAATTCGTGCTAGGACTTTTTAAAATGTCATTTTAGCATAATTTTAGTACATTAAATCATTTTTATTTTTTTGTCATTTATTTGCCAGAGTATCTCTTTAAAATAAGTCACCCAATTTCAAATGTACATCAACAGGGTAGCACAAAAAGGATAACACCCATATTTTACATGTATCCTCTTGAGGTTATCTTTTAACGAGTACGACCTTCCGTTATTTAGATTTTGTAGCATGAAAACCACCCTTCGTGTCTGAACTTATAGACTTGCCCGCCACAATTCAACATAGCATTTTACTCTCTCGTAAACATAAATTCACATAGAAATTATCACGAGAAACCATAAGCATTATGTAAAATGTTGATTGAGCACAAGGCGTGTTTCTTTGTTCCGAAAGCGCGTTTTGTTTCGTAATGTATCTATTGATATAGTAAATTACACAATAGACATATTTGTAAATACTATCTCTATATAACAACAATAAAAAGCCCATCACCCAATACCAAACTATTCAGATATGAACAAGGAAGAACGATTTAATCATTACGACAAATAAATGTAAAACTTCGTGAACTTAATAAACAATCGATATCGATAACAAATAAAAAATAGTTATCTTATTGTGATATTTAGTTTAAGGTAAGCGTTATTTATGTATTATAGTATTTTATTCAATCAAAAATAATAAAACTAAAATCTTTTAATACCTCATTTTCATATTTTGTACTCAATGTTTTCACAATATCAACAATACATACTTACCATATTTGTATATGCTTCTGATTTCATATTTGATGTCACTATATTAGTATTTTCAGAAACCATACTTTTGTGTTTAAATATGTATGTGTTTGTCGGCCAGCAGTTCGTCTTGTTTGAATGTAACACATTTTATGTCAATTTAATATCATACCAAAGATATCTAAATATCATTTACAACATGTGTAAAGTTTAGATGTGTTTATTTCAGAGTTATTATGCCAGTTAGAAAATAATTTGATTTTTGATAGAAAGTAAATAAACGAGATGAATATTTACATTGCTGTTTTGGTACAAACATGTACTTATCTTGTTTACACACATTGAGCCGATAAAAGCGTTTACAAGTTGTTGTTAACAAGACTTTAAAAAAATCCGTTTAGTTTCCAGGATTTTTAAATTCCAATTTCAACACCGATGTCAAATTTGTCTCGGGTATAAAATGAGTTCGGAGATCAGCACTCAGTTGCCAAGCCCTTACGACGTAAATAACGACAAGGAGTTGTGCCCTGTTTGTCGTGAAAGCGAAATACAAACCAGGTTTCTTCCATGTATTCACGTGATATGTGAACCATGTCTTCAAGACTTGATCAAATGGTATAATTTAAGTTATAATATCCCTAATTGAACAAAAGCACTGTAGCAAATTACCAACAAATATGAAATTGTGTCTGATACGAGTATATATAAATACACATGTATATTTTCCGATAAGTATAAGTTAGTCTAAAACGTTTATTATTCATTAGCTACGTTTTGTTAAACTCGTAATTTTTATGCAATTAAGTTGATGTTTATAGTAAACTGGCATGATATACTACTACACCAACGACGTCGATTATGACTATAACTATTATAGTTCTGTTGTCAAGTTGTATAATTATAATGAAGTGTTTTGTAGTATTTTAAACGGATGTATGAAGCATGAATTTAAGTTTGTTTCTAATGACAATGGTCAATGCAGATTTGTCATTATTTTAATTTAGTTTCCATATATTAATTAGACCCTTCGGTAGTTCTCGTCAACTATTTTATGAACAAAGGTTTGTCGCATGCCCTAAATCAGATGTTGTCAAGATGCCTTAATTCATAAAACCAAGACCATGTTAAAATATGTTATACATGTCGGCATGCCGCAATTTAATATTTGCACGCTCATGGCAGCTAAGGGAGTATATTAAAGCTTCCATACTAACTTTCGTGTTTTCGCCTTTCGCATTTGAAGGCTAAGACACGAAGACATGACACTTAAAGGACGCCGATACGAAGATTTCTACCCGCCGACACGATAATTCTGAAGGAGAAGATCACGTGTATTTGCCTAGTAAAATATCGTTTAGTGTCGGCGCCTTCGACTTTTGAAGAGCAAAGACACAAAATTGCAGTAATAAGCCACGATCAAATGTTCAGAAAAATGATATATCATATGTAAATGTAAAATATGCAAAAATGATAACCTTTAACAATAATTCAGTTCAGAGGGAAACACTTTCAAATGTCCCTTGTGTCGAAAAGAGTACTACGTTGATACCTTAGCACCAGTGAAAATTCGACAATACGGAGAGCAAAATAATCTCTATGCGGAAACATTTTTCTCAAGTCAAGGGAATTTAACAACTATTTCAGAAAGAGTCCAAAACGCAGATAGAGATAGACGGTTGGCTGACCGGGTGATCAGGTATTATTGTTTTTTTGCAAAGGTTTCAGTCGGAAATTCTAATTACAAAGTAGAATTATAAATGATACAATCGTTAAATTTCACTGTATTCAAATTAATCTTGTTTTTGGAATATGGATAGATGATGCTATTTTTTTGTTGTTACACATTTATTCATAATATTCACACTGAACTGTGCATAATAAGTATAAGAAGTGAAAAAGATATAACAATATTTTTCAGTAAGGGTGATCGCACAAACAAAAAAGCCCGCCCACTTTCTATTTTAGTTTTGTATTAATTTGAAAACATCTATCACGTGTCTACATTGTTTGAAATTATACGTACATGTATACACATATGTAACAAGCAATGTGCAATTTATTATTTCGTTGATATAAATGAAATCAGGAAAACCAAGTTTAAAAAAAAAAAAAAAAAAAAAGCATATATAAGGTGCGGGGAAAGTAACAATTCAATTTTTAAAAGATACACAATATATTTCAGGGGCTATGACCCAAGAATCAATCAGAGACGGCACACACATGCCGTATCTTCTAACGAATCAGGTAATTAATAATTTAGTGATGTAAATAATCATTCTAAGTAATAGATCTCCTATAATGTTGTACTGTTTACAGCTAGCTGTGAATATAGGTTACAATATGCATAAACTGTTCTTAAAAGTTACAATACAGATTACTGGTATTCGTTGTTGCAAAAAAGTAACAATACGCATAAACTGTTGCAATTGACCGTACCACAGTTAATAGCTTTACTGACCTTTACTGTTGCACAATTTACAGCTTACAGCTGCGCAAAAAGATTACATAATCTGTAAACTGTTAACGTTAACTAAAACAAAGTGTACTGATTCACATACCTTTACTGTTGCACCGTTAACAGCTAAATGCGCATATAGGTTAAAATACGCGTACACTGTTAACGTCGACAGTAAAACAGTATACAAAAACTCTGAAAGCATCTCGCCGTAAAATTGTATATGCATATATATATATAATACTTGTTAGGTAACTTAGACTGTTTCGTCCAGGCAACAACAATATCCACGTCCTACGATCAAGACTTTAATCACAACCAAATTTACGAACAACAACCTTTTAGATGACAACTTTCACAAAAGATAATTTTGACCGCTCAGAATTTTATGACTTCGAGAATAACTACTTCTACGATACGAACAACCAACTTTATGATTTCTATGACTTTAATTAATATAAAAATTCGACCAACAAAGAAACGTCGGCTTTGTTTTTTTACGATTACGCCGTCAACCACGATCTTTACATGACAACTACAACCATGGGCAATACAATTTCGACATTATGTCTACACATACGACAACGACGATCGCGTCGACTTCTATTAATAGAACGAATTCTACTTCTTTTATGACGATAAGTATGACCATCACTTCCACAATAGGTGTTATTTTGTTGTCAATTCTTAAATCCGTCTTTTTCTGATTTTACACTGCGATACCCGACAATGCGAAGCAACACACGACAATACGAAGCGACACTCTACAATGCGAAGTGATACTCGACAATGTGAAGCGAAATTGAAGAAATAAATTTCTAATTACCTCCTATGAAATGTAAATTCGGTAATATATTTAAAAATAATGCTTTTTGGAACTTAAAATATTGATAAATCTTCATATGAGCATTATATTTTTTTTATATAAAACCAAAGTTTGAGTTGCAGGATCTTTGATATGAATACAAGTCATTTTGTTTATAGCTGATCAATACTCCTAATTAATTTTGTAATGAACTGTCATTATAACAATGAAAATAACGATGATGATGATGATATTAATTTTATTTGTCACAAATAATAATAATAACAATAATACACCGAACCAAAAAAGAAACTTTCGCAAAGTATGTGCCAGTTGTTCAAGGGTGCCACTTAGATATACACACTTATATACATGTAGTAGCTTGTAAAAACGCGATTTGTTTGCAAAATCGGTCAGCTAATCCCCCTATAATAGCCCAATATGTTTATTCAACGTAAAAATCGAGTTTCAAAAGGATTGAAAAACTGTACTAACATATCTACATTCAAACTTGGAGAAAGTTTCTTTTTTGTTTCATTATAGTTGTTTTGATTGCACACTAGGCATGAACTATATACATTAAGACAGAATACCTGTACAAATCCAAGATAACATACAACTTTGTGAATTTACATATGCTGCTCTATGTAAGGTGAACGCAAACGTATATAACTCACGTGTAAGCTAAAGTTGTGGTCAGTTGTATATATGGTGCAACAGTGCAATGCAAGTAAAAGTTTAGTTAAAATATTAATAAAAATGTACTAATATATATCCTTTTATCATAGTTTGGGGACCTTTCTGTTGAAAATGTGTCAGAGTTAAATCGTATACATACACATGCAAAGTGCGTTAACTGGAGTGCAGGTATTAGTATTAGGTATTACGCACTCCAGAGCATGTCCATTGATTGGCTCATTTTTGCTCGGGTTTACTTATTGTGACAGCAAATAAAGGGAAAGCGACAGAAATATCATATTCAGATACTCGTTCGTTGGTTCCTTTTTCTGAGGCAACATGGAACGTGACTATGTTTCAAATACATTTTTCAGAATGTGCCCGCTGTGTTTGTAAACCGTGTATACAAGTCGTTGGATTTGGTAAGCACGTTTTTAACATAATTTGATAATAAAAAGATATTAATAGAATGGTAATAAATATAAAAGCTACTATGTTATCAATATCAAATTAACTACACAATCAGTATTAACTATTTTTCTACTCCACGAGTGTCATCAAAGGATGAAACTAAAACTTCATTTAATTTGTTGTTAATAACACAGAGTAAAGCTTAAGTATTTTCATATTTTCGATTATTAGTGTATTGGTTTATGGTGTATATACCATGACATCTACATTGCTCATTTAAACTGAAAATTAAGTTTATCATTTATTTTAGTTTGATTGTGTTTGTATTGTTGCATTCAAAATTGATTTAAAAGATATTCGTGTATGCAGTTCTTAGTTAAGCATTGAATCGTGAGAAATCCACTGCTGAGGATTTGTTCTCTTTAAGATACATGGTTGTTATAACTAGAATGACACTTTTTATGTTTTCAGTTTGTATGTTACATTTAATCTTAGTTGCCATCGTCAGATTTATTTTAGGTAACGTATATGACGTTATTAATAGATAGATAATCAAGTAACCTGTCTAAATCTAAAAATGTATATATTTTTCAATGATTCATATAAAAATTAAGCTATGAGGAATATTCAATAAGAAAAAATTATTTGTTAACGCTTTATCTAATAACAAAATTAAAGTAGGAACTTCTTTAGAACATCACAGTTATCAAGTAATTTGCATACGCATAAATTTGTTATGCATATACTAGTATGCGTCCATGATATATGCCTACTCAAACTTTGACGTTTTGACATGTACATTAAACTTGTGACAGGATGTCGGTATATGTTGTTATTTTACGTATGTTTGTTCTATATTAATACTTATTCTTGTTTTTTTTTACCACAGGTATGTTTATGGTGTTTACCATAGGCACATGGAACGGTGTTGCCATTTTTGAAATAGTTAAAGGCGCAACAGATTTTATTTTTGCAATAACACTGTGTCTAGAGGGGAGTTGTCGTTATCTTAAACATCTTTCCTTGGTTTTGGTACTGGCTTCAGTTATAGTGACGGGTTTTGGTATGTTGTCGTTCGACATTGTGTTATTTGTTTTTTAAACACAAACGTTCAATTGTTTAGCCCTTAAATTATTGTGAATAAATTCGAGAAACGGGTTTCAAAGATTTAGTTTTTATTAAATTAAATGAAGACACGTGTTATATGTAACGACTTATCATTCATTCATTTATTCATTTTATCTTTGTTATAAACAGAGGTTTGGTCTTTACAAATGTAGCTGAGCTTATAGGTTGTGAATCAAAATAACCACATAACATATAAAAAAAAATTATCTATTTTAGGTACGTATGCTATATTGACAGATGATTTTAACGGAACATTTATCGCATGGTATACAATAATGGACTGGTTGGTAATATTCTGCATTATTTTGTACATATGTGTGTGTTTCTTTATCAAACAAAATTGACCTTCTCCAAATATTTGAAATTTGTCGATATTGTTTATTATATGTAGATGTCTTGCATTGTTCGTTAGTTTGCATCTCTGTGTCCTCATATGCCTTAGTCTCTAGGAATAAAATAAAATATCTACTGTTAAAAGCGACTTATGGCCTTGATTTGAATAATTTACAAAACATGTCTGTATTACGTGTTGAAAAATAGGGTAAAAAAGAAACAAGACATTATTTATACATTGCACTAATTAAGTGATTATGAGTACATATTGAAATGATATATCTATAATATTGTGTTTATCAGACTTACTAAGTGATGAACCATCAAAATGACTAATGTGATTGATCATAATAAAAGACTTTTACCGTGGAAAGTTTGTCATTTGATATGACTTACACTGCATTCAGGACATTTAATTGTCAAGTTGAAAGTCATCTGAAGCTGCAGTTTTTGTGAAAATGATTATGAATATTCAACATGCTGTTAACAAACGTTTTTATTTTTCATGTTTGGAGTTTAACTTTTAAACATACTAGTATTATCAGATATTTATTAAAACAGGTAATGATCCAAATTATCTGCTTTCCCCGAAAATAGCGTTAACGTTCCATATATGTTCAGCGAATAATAAAGAAAAAGAGTAGTTAAAAATGCATGATCGTCTTCTCTTCTTTTATTCCTATTTCGTCTCCCCTAGATATACACAAATCCCCTCTATTTTCAATATTTAAATATATCTAAAATGTGTGTCTATATTAGAATTTCATGAATTCCATTTATTAACTTTTCTTTAACATTTAGTTCGGGTAATTTGTTAACACTTTTACGATAAATCAATGTTTAAACATATTATAGATTAAGATTTATACTTGAAAATGTATTTGTCTTTTTTTTTTATTTATTCGCCAGCATTAAGAAGACATATAAATTAACCATCTTCTTTTAACAGTGAAAAAACTTTATCACCAGTGTAGAGCCATGCCTGTCTCCAAATCCGAACAGTCTGATTGCAACAAACGCATATACTAGAACTCTTTGTACTAACCGAAACATTAATAAAAATTATCATTATTATAAGATTCCATTTTTGGAACATTATTAGCATTCTGAGATATATACATGTAGTTCTACTTATTTTAATAACCTGGCCAACAGAAACATTATAATATATTGTAGCCATAAAATTTGATTTGACGTCCACTATAGATAGTATCAAAACCATAACGGTTGTCTATAACTGCATGTATTTTTTATGGCAATACGTTACTTTTTGTTTCTGAATAATTGATAAAACCATGGTATTAATGTATCGGTAGAAGTCTTCATAGCTTTTCAATAAATATTTTTCCGTGTCTATAACAGAAATTTATTACTTTAATGCAAGCGCTTCCATTACCTTTTTCACCATTAGCCGTTGTTTGTGTCTGCGCCTCAGTTTATTTTTGGTACAGTATATACATACTCTCTGCCATTGTTTTCGTCAATCTTTAAAGATGTTTTGATTATTTGTCGTCATACCTAGGTAAGTGGAAGTAATGTCATTGTAGCAATAGAATTCATATAGCGTTAATGAACAAACTATAACTAATAAAAGCAAAAAAGATTTGCTATAATACGTGTATATAACTTTTCTAAAGCCTATTTTGCTGCTTAGCTTGTCATCAATAACTTATATTTGTCTGACCTTCCAAGCTAATAACAACAGCAGCAACAGCTCAAAAAAGTAAGTGATTTGATTTGTTTTACTCAGTTCCGGAATAAACCACATGTGAAAAACATCATTGTGCTTGCTAGGCCACACCAGTCTCTATATCGGGAATCATTTGTAACAAACTGATATACCCATAAGTCGTGAAAGGAAAGGACAACTTCATTCATAGCGTGTTTCTTTCAAAACAGCTCTTTAAGGCTCATCGTTTTGTGAAAGTCACAATATAACAAATATTGTCCCTGATACTTAGGATGACTTGACCTAACCCCGCTGTGAACCTTCCCTCCGATGTACATGCGTCAGTAGAGATTAGGTAATTCTGTTTTTGTCCCTTTTATTAATGCTAAGTTCATGGGAAATATATTTCCAAAGCAGAGTACGTCGCCTCACTGTGTTTCCTGATAATATTTTTGATAGGCTATTTAAGAATCGCTATACATTTTAAACATCTTATCTTATAATTATCAAAGAAATAAGATTTTGATAGGATTGGTAGCGACTAAATGGTTTGATATCCCTTACTTTAAGCGCTGACAAATTTAAATTAAACGGAAACGTAAACTGATGTTTCTGAGGGTGTGGCCTATATCTGTCAGTCATGAATATTACAAAAATGTATTTCTTAACAGCTATATCTTTGTTTTTAAAATGATTGAAAGAGATTCAACCAATTTGATCCCTTTTTTATATAATGAAAGAAAAAAAATTGTTGAAAAAGTTTTTTAAGGCGATGTATTTTGCTCTTTGCACCGTGTGAAACCTTTCCATATTTTGTTCCTGCTTTAGTCGTTAACATGTTTACATTCTGACTGATTTGTCGCTTTTTTAATAAAAAGTTCAGAATTAAATATTAGTAATAATTTATCATTATTTTGCTTACCAAATGCTAAAATCACAACAATACCTGATCGCACGGATAACCAACCGTCTATCTTTTGCGTTTTTTATCTCCATATGAATGACTTGTTATATTCACTTGACTTGAAAAAGATATGTTTCGTAGTGTAATATATTAATTTAATGTTCGTCATCACGATATTTAAACAGGAGCAAACGTATCAACATAGTATCCTTGTCGACATAAGGGCATTTAAAAGTATTCAATACATGATATCTTAATCATTATGTATCGTAAATCAACAAGTCTCAAACGCAGTAGAGATTGAAATGGCTTATAAATTTTATCAAACTTAAACATGAGTCACAACATTTGAGACGTTTATCAACAGGGAAGCACAAAAATAAATACCACCCGTATTTTAGATGATAACTACTTTTCAACGGGTAAGTTCTTTATTTTTGTAGAAAGTATATCAATTTATAGACACGGCCGCCACAATAAAATACAGCATGTTTACTCTCTGTCGTGAACATAAAATTCACATAGACATTATCACAATGAATGGGAAGGTGTCCGGTTTTTTTTTTGCTTCGTTATGTTGCCTATCTATTTATATAGTAGAATACACAATGAACATATTTTTAAATACTGTCTCGATATAACAACAATAAATAGAGGATATTGAATGAGTGTAAGTTTAATATTAAATTTATTGAACGAGTTGAATTAAATCATAATAAGCGAGTCTCTGGCGAGCATAATATTGTTTTCTTCAACTTGTTCAATAAATTTAGTATTAAATATACACGAACATAATATTCTATTTATCACATAATTATATAAAATGAGAACAGTAAACTGTTAATAAGAGTCATTTGTATTTTGACGCGCATATAGTGTAACGCTAACATTATGGCGCTTTAACGCCATGTTAATAGCTCAAATGATGTCAAAACAAAGTGTTATTACACTAGTGTTATCTCGTCTAGTGTAATTCCGTTTTTATTAAATGGCTTTATCACATACCCGTGCCGATTTTGCGACTCCGTAAAAATGGAATTGCACGGCCGTGCATATATATTTTGACGTGGCGTCATTTGCGTTATACAAACATATTGTAAAGACACGCTTAATGTAAGCGTTTTATTGTAGGCGCGTCAATGAAAAATGACTCTTTTTCACTTCAAATGGTCTGTATTTTTGGTATGTGATAAATAGAATATTAAATCCGTGTAAATTCATGAACTTATCAATATAATCAATATAATCAATTTAAAAAAAAAACACATTTAACAAATAGTCAGCTGATTGTGATTATTGGTTTAAGGTAAGCGTTATATGTAACAATATTTTTGTTGTTATCTAGAAAAAATAAATTTAAAATTTATTAATGCATCATTTTCATATTTTGTACTCAATAACTTTTACAATATCAACAATACACACTTATTGTATTTATATATGCTTCTAATTTGATATTTTTGTCGCTAAAATGTATTTGCAGAGATCATATTTGAGTTTGATATAAACATGTATGTGCTTTTTTCGGCCAGTACTTTTGTTGTGTTTGAATCTAGTACATTTTATGCAAATTTAGTATCATTCCAAATATACATAACATGTATAAAGTTTAGATGTGTCTATTTCAGAGTCAATAAGCCAGTTATAAAATATTTTGATTTTTGATAGAACGTAAATAAACGATAAGAATATCTACGTTACCGTTCTGGTATACACAAACATGTACTTATCACATTGAACAGATGTAATCGTTTATATATAAGTTGTTGTAAATAAGACTGTAAAGAAATTCCGTTTGGTTTCCAGGATTTTTAAATTCCCATTTCAACGTCGATGTCAATTTTGTCTCGGGTATAAAATGAGTTCAGAGATCAGAATATATATACGCAGCTAGCTTTAAACGTAGGTTTTTTCCTAAGAAATGATTAATAATTATTAACACAGATATTAATAAAATAGTACATGATATAAAAGTTACTACTCATCTGTATCATTTTAATAATACAATCAACATCAAATGAAAGGATCAAGATAGCAAACATAATATAATGCTTTGAAGCATGAATGACACTTAATTTATAAAGTACGATTATTTTTACTACTAGAGTGTCTCCAAAGGATAGGTGTCACCAAATCTTACTTTAAAACGTTTCCAGAAGGTTCTCCTGGTTCTTAGGCTTGCCGATTGTTTAAACACTCATACGCATGTCCTCAATTTAAAGTCTCATCCGAAAGACTTATTATTAAATTTAGTTGGCCAGCCTGGAAACCGTATCCACAAAGTCTTCGCTCTAACCGATTGAGCTATACGAGATGGCTTATAATGCAATTTGAACTATTTTACCAATGTCAATTCGTATCTGAGCAGAAACTCATACACACTTTTGACATTAACATTCAAATGTTTCGATTTTCAAGAATGGAGAAAAATACAAACTATAAAGCTTAGAGTAATAAACAGTATTTGAAATGGAAAATAAAAAAAACATCGCAATATATTTATTCATATAGTTCTTAGTCGGATCGTTGGGAAATCAGAGGCTCTGTTCCCCTAAAGCTACAAGTTGTTTTTACAACTATGTTACTTTATATGTTTTCAGTTTGTATATTGTATTAAATCTTAGTTGCTATTGCAAACTTTTCAGTGGCAGTGTTGTCAATATAATTCATATTGCGCAATGAACATACTATAACCAATATAATGCAATAGCTTTTGCTATAATTTAAAACTTTTCTTATGACGATTTTACTAGTAAGTTGGTCATCAATAATATCTATTTGTCTTACCTTCCTAGCTGATGACAACAGCAGCAACCGCTCAAACGCTTATGTGATTTAGTTTGTTTTCTACTCGGTTCCGGAATAAACCACGTGCCCGAGACCTTCAGCGTCCATGCCGAGCCACAACATTCGCCTGATCGGGAATAGTTTGTTACACGCTGCAAGGCGTTAAAGGAAGGACAACTTAATATCCAAGGTGGCTCATTTTACGGTCATAATCCTGTATTAGTCAAATTTGACCATTTATTCCCAATATTTAGGATGATTTGACCTAAACCTGTTATTTG